ACGTAAAAGTTAAGGAAAAATAATATGTTGCACTCGCCTCTAAGACACCAGACTTAACTAATAGGTACTCTGCTTATTCTGCTCAGCAAATTTCAGATTAAATGCTTTGAAAGCCTTCCTTTTAGGGTGTAGGTTACTAAAACAAGTTGTTATAGATGTGCCTAGGATTATTCTTTGATGATCATGATGTTGATTTCGACGTAAAAACAATTTTTGAAGGCTTATAAACTTTGTTGAAATTCATTGGTTATTTTACAACAGTTCAAAACACAAAGGCACACCTAGAGGCATCAATAAAAAGCAATGTCCAAGGTTTTCACGTGTGTGTGGTATTTGCTAATTTTTTTTGGGAGGTGCATTTCGGCGTTATGCAGAAAATTCGGCTGTTTGTCGTATAATTTTGTTAAATATATACCTAACATTGACAAATTTCATTGTTAATATAACAATTTTATAATGTTTTCACTCGATCTTCTGTGTTCTTAAATATCACTTTTTCGCGCTTATTAGAATAGCCAAACATTGAAGCAATGAAAATACACCGTATTATCAGACTTCCAACCACTCTGCAATGTCTGAGCACTAACCACCTCATAACTATAAATGGTCATTAGAGTGTAGACGATGCTAGTTGACTTTTTGGTGCAAACTGATGCATGTTTGAAGCAACTTATTGCCATACTAAATATCATTCTCCTCTATATTCCTTACAGGTATATTGCTCACTAATACCAGCCTAATGCGTTTCCAATGAGGTTACATGTATGGTGATCATCCGTTTTATCCCGAATATCTATTCACTTTATATTTATTTGTGAAGCGTCCATTGCGAAGTATGCATTTCTTTTAAATAGCAACCTCATTCGTTTGAAAACTTTAATTGTCTTTTTGTAAGCCCAACCGATAAGTTCATTTTTCTGGTCTCCTAGCAGTCTAAATTGAGATGTTGTAGTAATCATGAAACAGCTGTTGTGTCAATAATTACGACATCTATCGACAAGCCTCCATTTGCACTGTTGACCGTTAACCCTTTACCACAATCCTTTGCAACATCATTTCCTACCTATACAAATAAATTTTTCTCGAACGGAAATCAGTGAAATTTCATCTTTTCACTGAGCTTAACTTTTTATATAAGAGAACAAACTTTCCGGAGCATTTTAATAATGCCTAATTAATTGTTTTTCATATGAAGTTTAGCCTTAGTAAACAACGCTTAGGAAGGATTCCTAGTTTTACAATATGCCCATAAGTACTACTCAGAACGTGCACCAGTAAACATACTTTAATGCTTTCTCTCAGGTGTAAGACGATTCTTGGTCTTTTTGGCTGTTCACAGTGGACAGTTATTATTTCTAGCTGGTACTATGCATCGTAAAAACGAGACATAGCTACGGAAAGTGTACCATTGAATATGGGCCACGTTTCTTTAATGGATGAGCTAGTATTTTCTGACTAGTCTTTCGTCTCAGCATACTATTGTATGGCTGCTATGTTTGTTCTTAACACATTTATGTGAAGTTCAATTTGATTGCATAATATGCCACAAGAACTAAATATGAATGGCAAAACAGCATTATCACTATTTGCTAACGATGGGAGATTATTTCGGTAGGAAATATCCTCGATCGCGCTGGTAATGAGTGAAAACATATATTATATTAAGAGTTCGAACCGATATCATGAAGAAGGCTAAACTGTTATACCGTTAAAGATATTGATTTCTAACCTATGGTTTGAGGATTCTGCTATCTGATATCTCCTATCAATCCAAGTTGCATATAGTGAGTTTGCGCAGTCTACAAAGCAATAGACCTGAACTCATCTCGCACGTTGAATTTCATTAAAATCTCCAGACAAGAAATGTTTGTTTAACATCAGTCGTCCGAACCATCCATTTATAACGACTGTAATATACCTGGAACTGAAAACTTGATCAATAGCGCTAGATATTTAGCCGCTACGGAAAATAAATAGTTTTGATGGAGCTTTGTCCTCTGAGCTGGATAGTTTTGTCGTGGAGTTTTCATTGTTCTTCTGAACGACATCACCAGAACAAACTTCAGATAAAAGTGAAGCGTTCTCCATATGGAGAAATTCTAACTCTCGTTCAGAAGAACGATGAAAGCTCCATGACCAAACCATCAAAAAACTCCATAAAAATCACCCATCTAAGCTATAAATCTTCACCATCTCAAATAAATAGTTTTTAGAATTGTGTATAATTTTATTTATTGATATTACATTTTTTCGAAAAGTAGTGTGTATTTCAGCGAGGCAGGTGTAACGGTAGCTTTCCAATGGAAAACTACATATGAACAAATGCAAGATTCACACTAAAAGTAAAGATTTTAAACATTTTTAAATTTAGGAAGTCAATAGACCACTTATTTTGCAAACACTACGAATTTGTGCAAGTCAACAAATGCTAAACCGACCCAAGCTATTTAAATGCGGTACGCACGTCGACAAAATGTTAAGAAAAAGCTATGATCAGTATGTTTTCGAATAGTCAGGTCTTAGAAGCAAGCGCTACCAAGGCCTGTGTAGATAGGTCGTTGTCCTATAAGTTTCATATGCCAATGCTCGTAGTCTAAAAATTAAATTCTGTGATCTAGAAGCGTTAGTGGACAAACTCAAGCCATTCATTGTAGCTATGACGGAAACTTGGCCAGTCCATGACCACGACACTACTCCAAAACTATACCTTCGTAAGAAGCGATAGACATAGATGAAGGAAAAGAGGTGGCGTCCTTTTATACATAGTTAATAAAAAACATATCCGCTCTTTTGCTTGCGAATCCCATGAAAGTGGAGCTTATGAACTCATTAGTTGTGAGTTGACTATCGGATGTTGTACACTTATACTCAGTGTCATCTATCAATTTTGAATCTGCCTAGCTGATGACTTTAATTTAGAGCACATTCAGCTGTGAAGGGCAAATAACAGATGCTTGATATAAGGAGACTTTAGTGCACTTGATATTAGTTGGACTAAGATGGCCGTGGTAGGTTCTATAAACGCCTCTGTTAGCAGGTTCCCGATAGCGGTAATAATGAATGCATTGGTGCAGCATGTATTCAAACCCACATGTTTTGGTGCAAACCAATGTTCTTCTTTGTAAGACTTAGTGATCACTGAGGACATTGTCTACCTAAATATTATTCCATCGTTGGTGAATAGCGATCACCCTATTTTTTCATTCACGTTTGGAGCTAGTGACATGATATACGACCAGGTGAGGCCTCTACAAAATGTATGGAAGGCAAATATACCAGCCTTTCAGAAATGTGCTGCTAAGACAGAGTGGTTAGTAGATAGTAGCTCATCAGTTGCAGAAGCATGGTCAATATTTAAAGGCATGTTTAGTTCAGTTACGTCATCACTTATACCATGTCTGGTACCACGTAGACCGAATAACTGTCCTCCATGGATAACTAAACAAGTCTGAGTTGAGCTGCCGCAAAGAATCGAAATATTACTTTAGATGTGGTTTTAATGGATCTAAGTAAAGTCTGTAGTGTCACTGGACCATAACCACACAATCCTCAAGGCTGAATACGAGACTACTCGGAAAATAGATATTCAATATTTAACGCGGAGAAATAACTAACAATGGAGAAGGCGGGGATAATGAATTGAATTAATCGGAATTGATCGGATGGCATGGCTCGGCCAAGCAGGCGTGCTCCCTGCTCACTATCACCTCTTATATTTTATTCATATGAAATATATTGTTGCATCTCTAGCTCAAGCTTGATCTCTATCATCTTAATAATTGTTACGATGCAGTGAGTTGGTGTAGACGATGATGTGACTTCCACGCAAGATCTTATAGATTAGGCAGTTATATCATAACAAATCTACAATTTTAGGACTAGTTCTATTATTAGAGCAGTGCTAATATCATCTAGACCCATTAATTCTACAAGCCTTCGATAAGGTCTCCCATTCGGGCCTTAAATTGAAGCTTAAAAGTTTGGGAATCCATTATAACGTTATAGACCTGATAATTACCTTCTCCCATGACATATGACATAGGAAAAGTGTAAATGGAGCTCTCTTATCAAGGGAACCTGCATAAAGTGGAGTTCGCCAAGGTGCTATCCCCGGTCCTCTTCTCTCACTTTATGTAAATGAATCATCAACTGTAATTCGGTCATCTTTCAACCCTTCATCGATGACAAAGTTTTGGAAACCAATAAACAGTATATCATATAGAATAGTACTACGGGATTATCTCAACTCATTGGCGGTGTGAATGGGCAGGTGGTCACCAGAAGTGAATTTTGACTAGAATGTGATGCAATTAAATAATTATAACGACTCGTATCACTACACAATGCGTGGATTCATGTTATTCAAAGTAATGGAAATAAAATTAGAGTTATAATAAGCAACGATCCCGAAACTATGATAAACTGTAAGGCTGCTGCCACAAAAGGCTATAGGGCATTGTATGTTATTCGTAGGTGTGTTTGGATGATTATTATAGCCGACTTCGTTAGACCTCATTTGAAATAAGAGATTCAAGCAGCGAGTCCTTGTTTTACTTATGAGGTGGGTATGCTGAAACGAGTCCAACGACGAGAGACTTATTTGTTGAAAGGTTTCTCTGGCCGATCTTATGAAAATAGACTAAGACATCAACTTATTTCAGTTATCTTATCGTAGAATACGAGGCGACATAATATTGGCTTATCGTATACTAGACGATGACCTTGACGTTATCGACTTATCTTTCCTTTCCGTCTAGAACTGATCAATTGCGAGGACATTCAAAGAAAGTTCAGAAACTCAGATCAAATACTCTACGTCTGAAGTTTCGTTTCTCGTACTGAGTAGTGAAATACTGAAACTCTCTACCAGAACACGTGATATCAACAACTTCTGTTAATATATTGAAAGCGAGATTAGACCTCTACAGTGAAATAAACTGAGTGAATTAATATAGGTCGATAGACGTATTCTTATTACTGACAACTGAAAACTAAAAAATGCCCGCGTTGAACAAAGACACAAGGTCGGGGAGGCAGATTTGACTTGTGCACACATCCATAACAATATCTGGTTTTCCACAATAATGTCATTAGTCCGTCTTACGTCCTTTCCAGCTACCACTTTTAACCGGGTGTTTTCGTTCATATATCGAAGTCCGAAAAACTATACTTTTTGTTCCCACAGGGTTTTGTATAACAGAGTTTTGGTTTCTAGAAAACTTTCTCAGAAAGCCGAGGTTATTGGTCCTGAGGGCACTATAAAAACCCATATAGATGGATCTCGTCCGAAATTCGTCGTCACGTATGACGAGTTGAACTCGCAAATTTTCAAAGGAACTGTCCAACTGTTTGATGTAAGAAGTGGAGATGATGTGGAATCCACTGGCAGGATTCCGGGTTCTGTTAATATACCCCGTAAGTATTTTGCTTACATTTTAACTTCTCAGTCGCCGATTTAAAGAAAGCCCTTACTCTCAATGACAGCGAATTTTTACAGAAATATGGTGTGTCAAAGCCGAAAACGAGCGACAACAATATAATATTTTATGGTTTGTCGGATGTGTCATCAGCAAGTGCCTGTGAAATAGCCCACAGCTTGGGCTTTAAAAGGTTTGCTGTGTATTTCGTTTTATAACTTATTTAGGGCGAAGTATTATTTGAAAGGATGGGCGGAGTGGTCTACAATACATAAAAAATAAACAGTAACAATTTTGGTGCCTCTATATACGATGGTGTACATAATCCACAATAAACATAAAAATAGTTCTAGCCATAGATTAATATCGCAAAATGGCTCTCTTTCGCTGAGTTTATTGAAATTCAATCATTTCAATTTGCATTTTCACATTGTATTTGACTTTGCTGCAAAGCGTATACAGTTATTTGTTGTGTAACGTCAATCTCATCTTTATTACAAATAGTTTATCCGCGGCGAGTGGTGTTTTTTAGTTGGCCTGAAATAAATATTAGTGTGGCTATATAAATTAGTTCCATCATATCACCAGTGCCGTTTTTCTTGTGGATGTTTACTGTTGTATGATGCTATTCCTAATTAGAAGAGCGTAAGATTAGACAGTGATATTATTTTCTAGATTTTTGAACTTGTAATTATCGCACTTCATCATATTTGAAGCACCACATACGTTATATGGTTTTGTCACCAGAATTTCTTAAATAGCCAACCATATCTCTTAGGTTCGAAAGCAGCATACAAAGTTTAATTAACTGTTGTGTGTAGGAACGCCACCAGCATGTACTTTTGTGTAGCTCCTTCTGAAAATGCTGAATAATTACTGTCCAGTAAGTTCGTTCCTAATGTGAGAATAAAGTATTAGTTCCATCTGAAATGTCAACAGCATATCTGTCTAGCAACATCTGCTAATTGAGTGTCTCAACTTCTGTTCTTAGGTAAGCCTTGGGCCATTGATTTTTACTTTTTCCGATAACAGCAGTTCATGGCCTTCCGCAGTCAAACAATGCACTTGTTCTCAATTAAGTCGATTATTTTCATTAGTGATAGTACTTTAATAAAATGCTCCTTTTTGCTATTGGTTAATAAGTAGACTACCTTGTACATTCGTAGGTACTGATAAATATGTATTATTGCGAAATCTCTATGCGTAGGAAATTGGGTCGAAGTATAATATGCTGACGGACTTGTATTAAGCAATTAAAATGAAACCTCATGTATTTTAAGCGAATTTAAAGTGCAGTGGTAGCTAACATATATTTGGTCATTAACTAAGTGAAAATTGTCAATATTCGAACCTTACAATGTTTAGAACCAATAAAGACATTTTTTATGAAATGAAAAAGTGAATTTTAGATGGTTCTTAAGCTTTATTTATTTAAACATAAATATTGGAACAAGGAGGCACCGAATATATATGCACTACACTTCATCATTCGATTTGTGTGAGGGCTGGAATACTGTTTGGTTGCCCAAAGAGAAGCAGGTGATTTTCTTGAGGAGCCACTTCCCGAACTTTTGACCCAGAGGCCTAATCCACAAAGCAGTGGAGCAGCGTTAAGAGATGCAGTTCCATGGTAGCCGGTGACCAACAGTAGGCTCATACTCCACCTGTTACCTCGGGATCCTGGAGTCCATGTGCACTATTTGTTTGGAATCGGGGCTTTCCAATCTCCTCAGGTAGATCCTCAATATCTATACATAACATTACCAGGTCCTATGGTAGATTGTATGTTATGGTGCATGGTATTGTCCAGTGCGTAATCAAGATTGTTTGGTGGATTCTGGGTGGTGTTCTTTTATTATTCTCACTCTAAATCTCAACCCTAAGTTCCTCAAGTTTGTAAGCAGGAAGGTTCCAAGATGTTGCGTTTTACTTTATCTCAGTTTGTGATGAAAACCCTGACACAAGTTTTTGAACGTAACTCAAAAGTACAGTTTAATTCTTAGCACCTAACCCTTTCACATTGTAATTGACGTCAGTTGGCGTTAAAATCTCGTTGGTGATAGCCTCAACTCGCAACACTAGTCTGACTCCTAATATGTGTACACATTTGTAAGTTTGGCATTTTCTTCACTACTAGGGATAGTTCGACTTGTAAGGAATAATCTGTACGACCAAAGCTATTATTCCATTGTTGTCTCATTACTTTGTGTTGTTAATTGTTTTATAACTAGGCAGTGTTTCCTGTTTGGTTACCAAGACTGTAATTATATTGTACTTTTACCGAAATTTGTATTTCTGACATTTCGTGACTTGATGTAAGTCACTTCAGAGTAGATAAATAAATAGCTTCGTACATAGTGCCCAATCTTTTCGCAGGTAAGTTACGACTTATGGATATTTCAAACTAGTAAGAAGAAATGGTAATTAGGTTATCATCATTTTATATGCTGTAACCAATGAGTACCTATTGCTCGAGCTACGTTGAGTGTCTCGTTTGACAAATTACTTGTTAGGCGTTTGCACACAAACCTTTTAAACTAGTTGAATGACAGTAATTTCTCATATGTTATATTTGATTTTGATCAGCGTTGGGTTTCGTGACCTTTTATTCTGTTAAAATCCCTTTTTTTGTAAGTTGTTGCAGTTTGAATTAATACACAATAATGGCTATGGTTGACTGACAGCTGAGAACAGGTTTCCTGAAGGGTCTGAAAGTTGGACTGGATTTTTTTAAAATCATAAGGTCCAGAAGGATGACTGTTTAACACCATTACCCGATCCTGTTACTTTAAGTAATACACTACTCATTAAAGCTGTGACTTCACAAACTGACACAAATCTTCAATGACCGTAGTGTCTGCAGTTGAACTATTGTATTATGTATTATTTTGCTGTGATCAATATTTAATGAGAAATTTTATTTTATTTTTAACACAAGCATTTGTACAAGGAGGCAACAAATACATATGCGCCACACGAATCTCAATTGATTTGTGTGAGGGCTGTGATACTGCTCGGGTGCCCAAACCGAAGCAGGTGGTTTTCTTAAGGGGCCACACCCCAAGCCTTCGACCTAAAGGTCTAACCCACAAGGCAGTGGAGCATCGTAAGGAGATGTAGTCCCATGGTAGCCGGTGACCAACGATTGGTTCATACGCCATTTTCCCCTCAGAATACTGGAGCCCATGTGCACCATTAGTTTGAGATCCGGTTAAAGCGCCGGACATTCGCTTTTCGTCCTCTCATTTTCGTAAACAACAACCCCACCACGAGGAGACGGTGAGTAGGACTTCCCTGGGAGGGGCTATATACGCGTGGCCATGTGAGAGCATTTCGAGAGGGAGAGCGGACTCTCCCCACTCTCGGCCATACCAGGGCATTCGGGGGCTTTAATGAGAAAGCTTTACTATCTACTAAAGTTTGCCAAGAAAGTTTATTTAATGATATAATGGAAATGTTAGGATGAGAATTCAAAGAGTTGTTGGTGGGATGTTGGAAATATGAAGCATTGAAGGGACATCTAGGTTAGAATTTTGACAGATCTAGTATTACTATTTTGTGCGTCATCAGGCTTGATGCACAATTAAGGTTATTTAGCAGTCATTTTCTCATGTTTGTGATCTATTGCGAAGACGTCACTTAGATTAATAATGTCATCATGAGTATGTAAGCGGGCCAGAAACGAAGAGGCAAATCGGATCGATAAAATAAAGCACAACCTAACATACTTTCGGGTGTTATCAACAATTCAGCATAAGCCGCCTAACAGTATTCTTCAACCCACATTACTGAACCGGCCTTTCTAGTTCTATCCAGTTTTTGTTCAATCTCCTCATGTTCGTCTCCATTTCACGGCGTAATATACTCTCTCTCCCACTACTTTGGATTCGGGGGCTTGCCTTGTGACGTAGTAGGGTGCTTTCGTCAATGTATGTCCTATCCACTTCCAGCGCTAATCCCCGATGTCTTTACCCACTGGAATCTGGTTTGTTCTCCCCCACAGTAGGTTGTTGCTAATAGTGTCTGGCCAACAGATCTGAAGTATGTTGCGTAGACAACTGTTAATAAACACTTATATCTTCTGGATGATAGCTTACGTAGTTCTCGAAGTTGCCGCCCCATACAGTAGAACTGTCTTGACATTTGTTTTGAATTCCAGATGTCCTTCAGTTGTAGATATGCTGCTCTTGCTTTGTCGATCCGCGCTTTTACATTTGCATCAGATCCACTGTGCTCATCAATGATGCTGCCCAGGTATGTAAAGGTTTTTACATCTTCCAAATCTTCTCCTTCAAGTTTGATTTGATTGGTGCGTGTTGTGTTGTATCGGAAAATCTTGCTTTTCCCTTTGTGTATGTTGAGACCTACTGCTTCTACTACCGTGATCGTCTTCTTGTGCATTTGTTGTTGCGTGTGCGATAGAAGAGCCGGATCAGCTGCATCCTAGCTGTCCACAGGATCCCGTGCTTCCCCTATATGTTGACGCCTTCATAATCCAGTAGAGTAGATCACCAGGAGAAAGAAAAAGGGTGAAAGTAAACAACCTTGCCTGACACCGGTCTTTACTTCGAACGTATTTTATTTATTTATTTTAACATATAGATATCGGTACAAGAAGGCACCAAATACATATGCGCCACACATATCTCATTTGATATATGTGAGGGCTGTGATACTGCCCGGGTGCCCAAACCGAAGCAGGTGGTTTTCTTAAGGGGCCACACCCCAAGCCTTCGACCTGAAGATCTGATCCACAAGGCAGTGGAGCATCGTAAGGAGATGCAGTCCCATGGTAGCCGGTGACCAACGATTCGTTCATACGCCATTTGTTCCCGCAGGATACTGGATCCCATGTGCACCATTGGTTTGGGATCCGTTTAAAGCGCCGGACATTCGCTTTTCATCCTCTCATTTTCGTAAACAACAACCCCACCACGAGGAGACGGTGAGTAGGACTTCCCTAGGAGGGGCTATATACGCGTGGCCATGTGAGAGCGTTTCGAGAGGGAGAGCGGACTCGCCCCACTCGTGGCCGTACCAGGACATTTGGGGCCATTGGGATATAACAAAATTAGATTTAATAAATAATATATTTGTAATATCCCAATGAGTAGAAAATTAGATTTTCTGACGTTTCGTGACTTAGATTTACTATCATTTGCCTTCAGTTTCAAATTAATACTCGGCATATTTAGGTTTAATCATCAGCTTGGTGATATAAAAAGCATTCGCAAAAAGCGTTCAACCTAAATTTCGTTGCACAGATTCATACTTGTTTGTTGAACTGATTACTACTGGTTATTCATAATGAATTTGAAATAACTCAAATGGATTATTTTAGCTTACTTATTTTTTGATGTTCGTTTATATTGCTGACTTTCGTGATATTTTGTTTGATTTTCTGAAGTTGTTGCATTCAGTGATATGGTTTACGAGGAGATTAAGGTTACACTTTCTATTCAGCGTAAACGATTGTATTTATTTCGTGATTGAAATGCACTTAGAATGAGCAGCTAAGGTTTGTATGTTAATGGCTTAAGAACCAAGTTGTAGGGAATTTTCCATTGAAGTGAAAAGGTAAATTTTTTAGCAATGGAACCTGAAAAGTTTGATTTTCTTATTGTACGATGCTTCCTAGTTCAGGAACGTAGGTCATCACCTCAGTTGATATCCAAATTCAACCAAAATTTACATACGCATTATGTAGATGAACTAAAATT